TACTCCGTCTGCGGTCTTCGGTGCCCTTCCCCGATCTTCATGGCTTTGCATTTGGCTGGGTTAAATTCGAGAAGCCAGTTGCTGGACCAGGTGTCCAGTCTGTCCAGGTCTCTTTGAAGTCCTGCCTGATCCTCATCTGATTTAATTCTCCTCATAAACTTCACATCATCTGCGAACAGGGACACTTCTGAGTCTAACCCTTCCATCATGTCGTTCACATATACCAAAAATAGCACTGGTCCTAGGACCGACCCCTGTGGGACCCTGCTCGTCACAGGTGCCCACTGTGATACCTCATCACGTACCATGACTCGTTGTTGCCTCCCTGTCAGGTATTCTCTGATCCATTGCAGTGCCCTTCCTGTTATATGCGCCTGATCCTCTAGCTTCTGCACTAACCTTCGTGAAGAACTGTGTCAAAGGCCTTCTTGCAGTCCAAGAAGATGCAATCAACCTACCCCTCTCTCTCGTGTCTTACTTCTGTTACTTTATCATAAAACTCCAGAAGGTTTGTGACACAGGATTTGCCTTCCATGAATCCGTGCTGGTTGGCGTTTATACTCTTGTTCCGTTCCAGGTGCTCCACCACTCTCCTCCTGATAATCTTCTCTATGACTTTGCATACTATACACGTCAGTGACACTGGTCTATAGTTTAGTGCCTCTTTTCTGTCTCCTTTTTTAAAAATGGGAACTACATTTTCCGTCTTCCATACCTCAGGTAGTTGCCCAGTTTCCAGGGATGTGTTGAAGATTGTGGTAAGTGGCATACATAGCATATCCGCCCTCTCTCTAAGGACCCACGGGGAGATGTTGTCCGGTCCCATTGCCTTTGAGGTATCGATGTCCCTTAGCAGCTTCTTCACTTCCTCCTCATTTGTATGTATGTCATCCAACACTTGTTGGTATATTCCTTACTGGTGTCCCCCTCTGTTCTGTCCCCCCAGAGTCCTTCCTGTCTCCATTGTAAATACTTCCTTAAACTTCGCATTGAGCTCCTCACATACTTCTTGATCGTTTATTGTGAGTTCCCCACCTTCTTTCCTCAGACTTATCACCTGGTCTTTGACTGTTGTCTTCCTCCTAATGTGGCTATACAGCAGTTTCGGGTCAGACTTGACTTTCGATGCTATGTCGTTGTGTGTGTGTGTGTGTGTGTGTGTGTGTGTGTGTGTGTGTGTGTGTGTGTGTGTGTGTGTGTGTGTGTGTGTGTGTGTGTGTGTACTCACCTATTTGTACTCACCTATTTGTGGTTGCAGGGGTCGAGTCTTAGCTCCTGGCCCCGCCTCTTCACCGGTTGCTACTGGGCCCTCTCTCTCCCCGCTCCATGTGTGTGTGTGTGTGTGTGTGTGTGTGTGTGTGTGTGTGTGTGTGTGTGTGCGCGTGTGTATGTGTGTGTGTGTGTGTGTGTGTGTCAACGTGTGCAAATGTGTACAAATGTACAAATAATTCCATTATCCACCATTTTCATCCCATTTTCTAAACATATTTAAATCTTCCTGCAAACTTTTAGTCTTCTTGGGTACTCTTTATCTGTAATCATATTCATGACATGTTCCTACAGGAAACATTCTTATATAGATTAAAAATCTCAGTAACAGCCACTGATCTCTCAAGGATTCTACTCGTAAAACAGTCCAACGAAGACATTTTTAATTTTATCATCATTCGCCTTCTTGTTCCGAATAAAAGTTCTCTCATGCGTTTAATGATTTATCTTTCAATTTCTCCTTCACTGTGTAACTTCCCAATTAGTCTACCATGAAGTGCATTTATGTTCTGATACGTCAAGTAGGTGCAGTCTCACTAGCCTTTATTTTTTGCGTATATAGGTTGAATATATAAAGCATTTTGCTACTTAGCAGCCAAAGCTTTTATAAATTAGCTTTTTTTTTCTAAATGTTTTATCCGCTTTTATGAAGCCTATTGTTATATCTCTTCATTTTTTTATAACTATCGTTTAACAGTTTCTTAAATTAATAAATGATTATTTTAGGGCGCTCCCCTTCATTTGTCTGTTTTTTTTTTCATTTATTAATTATATTATCTAATAAGAGGTTTAGTTTAGTTTATTATTTATTTCATTCCATTGTATTATTTAATGCACTGTCATTACTGAATTGTTTAGATCTATGATTTTGTTGTTTTGTTTTATTATTCAGTTCATCTTTTCTTTTTTCTTTTATCATCTTAGATCACACTGGTTGATGTGTACCTCTGGCATTACCTTTGGCTGAATTATCTCCCTCAGGTTTTTCTCTCTGAATTAACTCTGCAGCGTCTGTGCCTCGAGCTTATACTCCATGTCAGATTTTCTTGCCCATTCCCCAGTCTTCATAACCATCCATTACCTGGGGTTAAATTCATTTAACCACTTGTCTGATCAATCTTGCAGCTGGTCCAGATCCATTTGTCGTCTTTCCTTGTTATGGTAGGTTTTTATTCTTCTTACAAGTTTCACATTATAAACAAACAGGGATCCAAATACATCTGGTAGGTGTTTCACATATAAGAGAAACAGTACTTATCCAGATATCGATCATTGCGGAATCCTGCTTGTTACTCCTTCCCATTCTGGGATCTCTTCTCGGACAATCACGCTTCGTTTCCTTCACATAAGGCGCTCTTTGATCCATCGGAAATATTCCCTGTTATTCATGGCTGCATCTTAAGTTTTTACTTCAATTTATTGTAAGGTGCAATATCAAAAGTCTTCTTACAGTCCAAGAATATGCAATCTACCCATCTTTCTCTCTCCTATCTTACTTCTGTACTTTTTCATAGAATTTCAGCAGATCTGTAAAGTTGAAGAAGTATTTTTTAATATCCCAGCGACTCATATGTGTTTTTAACTTTCAGTCGAGCCCTGAGCCCCGCCTCACGAATAGACTCACCATATCCACCCCGTCAATTCCTCTCAATATTTTGTATATGATAATCATGTCTCCCCCTGGTCCTTCTGTCCTTAAATGTTAAGGTTCTTGTAGCTCATGCCCCATACATCTGGGACTAGTTTCGATGTTAACTTTTGCACTTTTTTCCAGCTTCTTGAATATGTTTGACCTGTTGTGGGTTTCATACTGGTTCTGAACTCTTCAAGATAGACTTAACAAGTATAGTATATAGTATAGTGTTATAAATTATTCCTAGTTAAGATTTCCGATAGCTTCGATAATGTTAGATTTTTAGATTGTTTGCTGTAGAGGTTAGCTGGTTGATGAGGAATACTTCCTGACATTCCTGTAGTTCATCTGCATCTTGAACTTCCAGCTGTCTGCCTTTGTTTTTATTTCTATGTATGTCTGTGTACTTGTGCATGCCAATAATAGGAATATTCAGGCTGATGGTTAGTTAAATTTAACTCCATTAAGTGAAAACTTAAGAAAATTAGGGAAGAAGAAAGAGAGAGAAGACCAGAGAGAGAGAGTATAGACCGTGTAACGAGGGATATAATCTTTTGGAGGGAAGCAGGACCATGTATCAATTGTTTTATCATGTCATTTACTAATAAAAAAAAAATAAAAAAAAAAACAGTGCCGGTCCCAGTACTGACCCTTGTCGGACCTCACATCGGATCCTTGTGTATCTGGATACAGCCTCTCTGAACATCACTGTATTTCCTCCTTAGTATCTGCCACGTTATGCTAGCCTCTTTTAATTCGTGTTTCAGTTTCTGGTCTAAAACAGTTCAAAATTGCCATTAGCAATTCAAAATCATAAAGTCCATCTGTTACAACTTTCAAAACACTGAAGGTTGAAGAGAGAATTTGCCTTCTCTAAACTCTGTTCTTTAGGAGTTCCACAATATTCAATGCTGTTTACTCATTTACCCTAGATAAAATACTGGCTATGTGTGTGTGTGTGTGTGTGTGTGTGTGTGTGTGTGTGTGTGTGTGTGTGTGTGTGTGTGTGTGTGTGTGTGTGTGTGTGTGTGTGTGTGTAGAGTGCACGAGCACGTGCTTGTGCATTATGTGCACGAGCGTGTGTGCGTGTCAGAACAGGAGTCTCCACCACAGCTCTTCAGGTCTCTACGTCAGGTTCAGTCTCACACGTCGTCTTGTCGTCGTTCATGCAGCGGGCTGCAGATGCACTTCATCTGAATACTGCAAGTCACTATGCATGTCACTTTCCATGGACAGGGTCATGACAAACACCAATCAGCCAAATCTTAAAACCGTACACCAATGTCACTGCCTGTCAATAAAGGCCTACCAATGCACTGCAACTAGTAGACTGATAAAACAAATTCTATAAGTATATAGCTACATACTAATGCAAGAAATCAGCTTCAGTTGAGTGTATAATTTTTCTGAGGTAAAAAAATGTATTTTAAAAAATCCTACGATATCCTCTGCATAACATCTAACATATTTACATATACAAAATGACTTCTATCTAGCTGTGTATGATGCATGCTAGCCGAATATCCTTATCTGATTCAGTCTACTTTAACAAGCATTCTGTGCATAGCAGGATTCTTACTCTTCCTACATGGATAGAAAATCTTTTTTTTTTTGTAATCCAAGGCAAAAGTACATATTATATACTCATGCTACTAGCACATGCATGAACATCCTTCAATATGAGAAAGCTGAATTGCGCAATGTATATAGCCATGTTTGTTGTCGAGCAAGGCGCGAGGATAGACAAATCATAATTAAACAAAATTTGACCTCTTTCTAAAAGTTGACGAAATCAGAGGTAGAAATGTGCTAATTACTTACCCAGCATCCTGCCTGCCTACGCACCTTGTGTTGCTAGCGAAATGTTGGATGATTAGTATTTGATTGTTATTGTTTGAGTCCTCCCTATAATATGCACACGCAGACAATATACAGTATATAGATCTATTAAACCACGGTATAATCCTTTTATCATATAACTAATGAAAGGAAAACGGATCAACCTCACTGGCTTGGTGCACATTTATGTGGGAACACAGAGAAGGAGCGCTGTGGCACATTTCAAATGTTTACCTCTGAAGCGAAGAGAGCGGAGTTTCCAAGGTAGGTACGGCCTGGCCCGGCATGATGAGCATGCGAGGCTTGGTGTCACTGGTGGCTATAGTAGATTGCTGGAGCAGAGCAGCGGTGGGTAGGCTGGTGGCAACACGCCCTACAAATTTACTAGCGATGTGTTGCTGTTGCAGATTCTGCAGTTGCTGAAGACCTGAAACTGTTCCCGGCACGTCTTTTCTGATCGGCGTTGGCGATACCTTTCCCTGAGTCATGAGCTGCTGCTGCAGTGCCGCTGCTTGGTCCTGGCGCCTCATTTTCTTTAGATGCTGAGCTTGATGTTGAAGTTGCATTTGATGAAGTTGGAGCTGCTGGGCCGGCGTCATCTGCTGGAACGGTAAATGTTGGGTGCCAACCTGCTGCTGCCCGGCATTAACTACCACGGGTGGATTCTGCATCATCTGACCACCAAATACAGATTGTTGTACACCGGGGCCAACGTGATTGGCCATTTGTGTAACCATCTGGCCGGTGGAGGTGAGAACCTGCTGCTGACCCACCACCTGGCCCTGGGAGTTTACTACCTGACCTTGCGAGTTTATTGCTGTGCCCTGAGCATTCATGAGCTGGGCCTGTGTTTGAGCCTGAGAGGTCAGCAGTTGCTGCTGCTGTTGTTGCTGAAGCTGTTGTTGCTGCGAGGTTGCTAAATTACCTTTCTGCTCCTCCTTTGGAGAGCTTCCTCCAAGACCTTAAAGAGCGAGAAAAACATGGATTGCATTAGCCAGGGATTATAAAATCAGTTTTACCTATTGATCAGTTTTACCTATTAGTCATGACATATATATATATATATATATATATATATATATATATATATATATATATATATATATATATATATATATATATATATACATATATATATATATATATATATATATATATATATATATATATATATATATATATATATACATATATGTGTGTGTGTGTGTGTGTGTGTGTGTGTGTGTGTGTGTGTGTGTGTGTGTGTGTGTATTTGTGTGTGTGTGTGTGTGTGTGTGTGTTGCAAAAAGCTATGAACAATGCAAGACATCCATGGGGGTAATAATGAAGTTGCTGAAGAGGCCTTTCGCACTGCAGAAGCAACACTTCTTTACGTGCAATGCAAATGAAAAATAAATCGAAGAGGGGAGAGCCCCAAACAGGTGTGTTAGAAGACACAGCCCAACCAGGAAAGACAGGAGCCAACTAGCTCTAGGATCAGCCAACAAACGACCCTAAATGCTAGAGGCAAAAGCATTAAAAACATTGTAGTAAACGGTAATCACAGCCCATATGACCTGTTATTAATCATCATTAGGCTGTTGAATGTCCTTCTGTTTTGACTGACGATGTAATTAGCATTTTTCACGTGTCTATGGTATTATTTCAACCGACACCTCCATAGTCTGGCGATGTTTCCATTACACAGACAAATACTTAAACTGGTATATCCGTAACTTTTGAAACTTTTTAATAATCAAATGGCATTCATGTCATGACTTCGTCAGTGTTACGAGAATTTTCCATTATTGTAATCTTTTCTCACAAATAACTTTTCTGAATGGTCCACCAGTTTTCTTTTCTTCATCAGTGGTCTAATTCAAGGGTTCCCAACCTGGGGCCCGAGGGCCGCATGTGGCCCTTCCAAGAAATGGATGCGGCCCTCACTTGAAATTATAAATTCACTTTCACGTAGGTCCCACACTGCACAGTATCAATAATTACAAATTATTTATAGCAATTTTACACCAAAACCTTATCTCCACCTCTTACAACAACCTTTCACTTCTGGTCACTGCCTGTTTATCCTAGTAGCAACCTATTTACTGTCAGTAATATATAATTACATAAAAATTTTAATTATCTTTCCATTATAGAGCTCGTATTATTTGCTCTAGTCTCAAATGTTTCATAAAAATTAAAATACAGTATTTCTGTCTATAACAGGTTCGTCAGGACAAGTGTTTCCTAACGCTGGTCTTAGTCATATGATGACCCGAAGCTGGAACTTTTGGTCATATGATCGAGACCTTTCCCCGGCTTACCGGTCCATTTACTTGTGTTGCATTTTACGACGTTCAGTATAATTGTATAATTATTTTACCATATTATAATGTTATTATTGTAATGTTGATTTCGATCATTACAAAATGCGGCCCTCCTTTAAATTTCGCTTATCAAATTGGCCCTTTCATATTAAAAGGTTGGGGACTACTGGTCTAATTCAATCGAAAACGACAGGTACAGAATAGATTACGAATAAAAAACTTATATTGTAGAATATGGGACGACTACAATGAGAATGAGACCTTTATAGTAATTGAAACTCTCTCAGTTTATGTCGACTCAACAACTGGATTGTCTGTAGCACCATGCTGACGCCAAGTATCGTATCCGTTCGTTGTGTAGCGCATTTAGGGGACTTTTTCATAAATACATACAATAGCCATAACGCTTAGAAATTCCCAACAAAAATGCCGAAACCAGAAACAAGGAACATCCTGCTATTTTGCAAAGATAAAAAAAAAAAAACTTGCAGAGGCTTCATTCCAGTTAGTGTTCACAGCCTGACAATACACGAATTTCCTTTACCAGTTGCTGCCAGAGAAACAAAGCAACATAGGCCGGCCGTCTCCCTTCAGGGTAAAGTGGCCCGAAAAATAAGGAACCCGTTCACCATCACTCACTCCATCACTGTCTTGCCAAACATTACAGCTCAGATGCTGCTCCAAACTATGAAAAAAATAGAGAATTGGGAGGGGGGCTAAATAGCTGGTATGTGGCAAAAGAAATAAACAATAACGGGAGATATAGAGGATTATCAGGTGGAAAACTGTCATGAGAGGTTTGGACACAACACAGACCGACTGAGAATCTTTTCAGTTATAACCTAAGGTCACACCCAGGTGAAATTTCACACTTTGAAGTTTGTAATAAAAATGAAACCATAGCTGTTAATATTATTATCATTATTATTACGGTATTATTATTACGGCATTATTATTATTTTAATTATTTTAAAGTATTAAATTCATGGAGCGCTAAACTTGTATGAGTCACAGCTCCTGGGGAATGGGGGCAATAATATTCGATCCAATTCCTTGAATCAAGAACCCTTCACCGCCATCGAGGCACCTCCTCCGATGAGGTGCAATTCAACAGGCAAACTACGTTCCTCATGACAGGAGATTCCTCGTTCGTGTACAATAAACAGTTCTTATTTAGCCTCCCCAACCCCCCACCCTGTGACCTTGACTCCTCTGGCCACTGTGGAGAGTGCGGAAGGCCACCTCAGTCACATGAGTGGCTTTCTTTTCTAACAGTATTTTATTATATGTAAACTACATTACATGTGTACTGCACAAGAGAAATAAATAACTGAATTTCAATTTGAACTTAATCCAGATTCAAGATCCATGGCATAACTCCCCTTCCCCTATTATCGTAACTCTACCCTTAACCTACACACTAAGTGATATCTCCTCTTGCTAAGTTCAACCATCAATCCTATCATATATCAGACTAATCTGTAAAAAAATAATCATAACTTACAATTTTAAAACTGTGATGAAATGAATTTCATCTATTTTATCTACATCTTCAATATTTCCAAGAATTGGGAGTGTTCATTGGCAAAGTAAAATAGAATTTCCTTACATTACTTGTAAAGTGCTGTTTGTGACATGCCAGACAATATCAAACAGTACCATTCAAATCTAAACGAATTCAAAGTAAATACCATGAAAATAGTGTCCCTAACAATGTTAAACAAGTATATCCAATATATATATAACTTTCATATAGTAACAATCTGTCCTAATACATCAACTACAAGTTATGAAGGAAATTTACAGTCATAACTGAAGCAAGTGGATGATGTGCCTTACCAAGAGCGCGAGTGAAATCTGACAGCATCCCGCTGATAGAGCTCTTCTGTTGCTGTCCTGCCGGCCCTGTCCCAGACACGCTAGGAGACCCCTTGTTGTCCTGACAAAGGGAACGTAGTTCATAAGTACACAGTACTCCTCCCTACTGCATAAATTTTATAGTAATATACAAAAAGTTATATGTATATATTTATATATTATCGTGTTTATAGTATAATGAATTATTAAATGTATTTCGCATGCGTTGATCTGGAAATTGTCATCATCTCACTTATATTCTAATATTCAAGAAAACACATTCGCATAAATTCGAAAATCTTCAATAGAGAATCTGAAAGTAAACCAATATCCAAGCGAAAACAAGGATATCATGCATCAAAAGAAGTATAGACAACTGAAGACTGTGCCTGTAAACTTCAAGAGTGCGGTGCTTAATAACCTGTTACAAACAAAACTTGGACGGCCAAACCACTTACAATATACCCAAATTCTCCCGATGAGTGCTGGCATGACCACGAACAATTACAATAACACACACACACACACACAAGGTAAAAATGCGATATAACAGACAAAGAAAAACAATGTTTAACATACATGACACAAACATGCAAAGGCAGCAATAGGTGGCTCAGTGGACACAGACCGGGGGTGAGGATATTACTGTACACTGACAAACTGGCATACAATCACTATCCCTTGATTATCCTTATTCTACAGTAGGCTTAGCCCTTAGCTAGATGCATTCAGGTTGTTAGATTTGTTATTCAAATGAATTTTGTTAATAATTACTTTATCTTCAGACCGTAAAACTAAAAATATGAAAGTGTGAGGTATAGTTTATCTTTATTGTGCATGGCAACCAATTTATTGAGAAATGAGCTTGTCATTCTTAGATAAATAACTGGTAGGTGTTAAGAAACTATATTAGTAATCTCTTTCAATAAGCATTTAAGTAATAAAAGTCTTTTGGACTATGACTAACTGTTATTCGTTCTTATTACCTATTACAGTGTTTTTTAAATCATATACGATTTTAATATAAATGAAAAGTGCTTGCCTATAATTTAAGCAAGTTGTATAAACTACCGGAAAATAACTTTTTCCGTAAAGATTTTGCAGCTGGTTAACAGTTAGAGGCATGTGCCATCATGATACAATGTAAGCAGTGAGTCTTAACAAATGTCCTGGAATTTATAATTATTTTTATGAGAGAAAGAAGTGATGACATCTGTCTCTATCCTAATCAGTTTTTTATATCTTATTTAAAATAGAATATATAAATATCAATAAATATAATTAAAATAAATAAATATATATATTATATATATATATATATATATATATATATATATATATATATATTATATTTATATATATATATATATACATATATAATATTTATATATATATATATATATATATAATATATATATATATATATATATATGCGTATAAATATATATATTACATATTACTGCGTAGAAGGGTTATCTTACAGTACTATGGTCTGGAACAAGTGTGAGAGCCTTAGTCTAACAAGAAAGTTTGGTGGTGTAATTATTCAGCTTAGTACGGGTTGTCAGTGACCAGGTGAGTAGCAGTTCCCTTGGCGATGAGGCGAGTGCTGAAAAGGATTTGGACAAGGATAATGTGCTTTAGGATTGTAGAACAGTAGACAGGTCGAAAGTAAATGAGAAGTTGAAATCGATGGAGCCGTAATATCTAATGTATGTGCTGGAGGAAAAGGGTAATTATAAGTTTTGATAAAATAAAGACAAGGAGATGAAAGTACATCTAGCTGGTGTAGTGTCTCTGGTCCCTCATATTCTGGTAGGAAACTTGACATAAAAAGACAATCGAATAAGTGTTAGCGTCTTAATGACAGACCGGTGCGGCCACAATACAGCGGCTCGAACACTTCACAACTAAGTTACTCATTGGAAAGGAAACTTTAGAAGATATCTTAGTCCGTCCTGACCATTTTTAGGTCCGGGGCAGGCCGAAATGTCTGAAGTGTCGCTTCCAAATTATTTGGTTAGTTGCAAATTGTTAATGACTGTGGGTACAGACATACTCTGAAACAACGTAATGAATGTTGCAAACACAGTCCCATTACTGTACACAATGGGGCAACACATTTTTGCATTTGTTTTTCCGTTTATATATCATTAATTTAATTATTCTTGCTCATATTGATTTTTACTTTTCAAACATTACTCAAATTTCTCAGTGAATGCAAGTGCCAGTAGTGAGCAGAATGACAGCTTCTGATGTGGATAGAAGAGTCTGGTCACGCTTTCACTACCTCCGGCTGATGTCCTGAAATACTGTAATTTTTTAATATTTTGGGCTAGTAATTACATTTGAAGCATTTCTTGTTCGGAAAGCATTTTCAATAAATCCATTCATGAAATATTCAAATTACCACGAAAAACAAAACAGAAAAAAATAACGGGTAAGAAATCGAATAAATTATTTTAAGTGATTTTCAAATCTAAGAAATCTCAATAAGGTTCTTCACAAAGCAATTTTAATACTATGCAAGATTTAATACGTAGCTTGAATTAATTAACAATAGTTTACCTCATTATTAAATGCGTTCTCTGTTTAAACAAAAAATCTGATGCTAGAATTAATGAATTACGAATTGTAGAATTGCTTCTATTTCAACTATATTCAGATAAAACACGTAGAATTTAAGAAATTACACAATAAGAGGCTATTGAAGAAACCTACCAGAAGATGAACGAGGCTGCTGCAGCACTCAAAAAGTGAGGTCAGATTCACATAGTTTTTTGCTTAGTGATAATAGTTGAGCCGATGTGGTGTCAAGATTATTTACGAAATCCCCTCCAAAAAATTTAGTAACTATGATGAAAATATAAAATCTGTTTAGGAGATGCCTCTACATATTTCCCTCTAAAAGTTTTTTTTTTTTTCATAAGGTGTTGATTACGTGGACTTCATGTTTTCATGAGACAGTAGAGGAAGACCCTGAAATAAACGTCCCTATTTTGAAGACAGCCTTTACGAATAAAACTAAAACTTATTATGTAAGAGCCTAAAATCAACTGATATAACGATACTTGTTTTAAAATTACATACCAAGTATGATGTAATATTTCCATGATATTCCTCATCTCCCATAATGTCAATCATTACCGACATCCAGACTGCCGGGTGATGGGAATTTCCTCTAGATGATAATTAGTGGTATGGTCTGGATGTGTTATAATATAGGACTCAGTGAAACAGGAATGTCGAACTGCATCTTCGTGCAATAAGTTTTTGGGTATAACATTGACGATGGAACAGCATTATATGGTGCTTGGTATATTAGCAGCCAGCTTATGAAAAATTTTGTGTGTACTAGGCGTGTTTCTAAAAGTACTAATATACTTATGAAATAAATCACTGGTATATGTGTTATCAGTAGGATTATATGACATACTTTTGAAAGTTTCGTCTCTCAGTGTATATTTTCTTTGTAATATCAGGCCTATACGAATTGGTTTTAGCCGTTGTTTCGTGTGGAATACCGAATGTTAATAGTATGCCTATGTGCCTTGGCGTTAAACGTTACCCTTTTCTTACATAGAATGTTATCCCTGTTAACAGTATACCTAACATGACTCACGAAATCGTAATGACACGAATGCAAACAAACCATACCATAGGTGGGGTTAGAACCCGCGATCACCGAGTCACAAAACTCCAGACCGTCGCGGTCTGGAGTTTTGACTCTGACGCGGGTTCTAACCCCACCCGTGGTATGGTTTAATAGTATACCTAAATGCTTGATTTCGTTTGTAATACTGACCTATCTGCGTTTTAACACAACGAATATAATAGATGGTTTTGAAAGTTTAGACTAATAAGTCACATTTTTTTTTGACGATAATAAGTCAGTCAACGTAGCGTCTCTTGTGATGCCTTGTAAGGGTTGCGAGTTAATTTGGTGTCATTATGAAATATTTACTTAAAATGTAAACGTAAGATATTAATTTAATTCACTTCTGTTTTTCCTTTCAAGTAGTGAATATTTTTTTTTTGTTTTACGTTATGACAGAAGTAGTTTTGTAATGTTTTATTTAGTAATGTAAAAGTACAATGGCATTTTTTTCCCTATTACAAAGGATATTTTTATTTTCTGAAAGGTGATATATGTCTCAGTGTAAATACTCTGACAGTTTACTTTAATTTATATTTTACAAATTAAAGTAAGCTTGACTGGTGGCGTAAATCCCAATTAACTAAAAAACAAATTAACCATTGCGCTTTGTGTACATTGTGATGAGTATATCATTCCTGATGTGTATCCACTGAGAACAGCAGTGTATGTACACTCAGAGTTTACTTTAATCCATAGAAAGATCCTTACCTGGTGTACAAGTGACATGCAGCTTCAACGACTCTCGTATGTCCGATAGGCTTTAAGCTTAATAAACCAACAAAACTAACTATTAAGCTTGTAGCTATTTTATTTATAAATAAGCCTTGAGTTGAGATTATTGAGAATACTGGCATTATGATCATCGGGAGACTATGAAAGAAGAAAGACATGGAATAATAACTTCCTGATTTTGACTATCTTAGTACTAATCTTTGTCTTACCAGTTTTTCTTAGTTTTTCATTAAAATCAGCAACATATACAGCCAAAAGTTTTTCATTAAAATCTAGTAATTTAAATACCTTACATTTTTATTGGGGTCTATAGGTCATACAAATAGAGATTTGATGGCTAGATTGAAAGAGTACAAAAGATATGAGATCTGATTAAACTATGTTGTTTTATTAACATTTCCAACGAATGATTCAAACTAATGATTGTGACAGAACAAAATTAATCCATCACACAAACTACAGCTTCAAAAGTAACACCTCGCAGGACAAATGACACTTGATGTCATCACGAAGGTGACAGCAAGTTTAATTTCTAAACGAGATGGGTGACACAATGAGGATGTTCAGGTAATAGGACCAGGTTTAAATTTCAAATAAATTATTATCAATATACTTCGTTCACTGTTCTCAGTAAATGGGATAGAAATATTTAGGTTGATTTCACGTCTTTTCCATGGAAATTTGGGTTCGAA